AGCATGGGTGGGAACCTCAGGCAGCATCCTGCAGACTAGGGTGGGGCTCTTGGCACTCACAGATTGAGACTCTGGAAAGAGCATGGGCAATCTCAGCATCCCTCAGTCCATGGGGGCAGGCTGAATGCTTGTCAGCCAGGTTTTTCAAAGGCATCCTCCTCTCCTGAAGGTACATGGGGCTATTTTGGGGTCTCAAGCATCCTTCCTGGACAAGCAGGTGGCTGTGTACCTCTTATTGAGGTGCTGTGCAATCTGGGTTCATGGAAGGGTCAGGGCGAGATGTGAAACCCACAAGGTCTTAAAAGTATTTGACAGGTGACGTCCTAGTGATCCCAAGAATGAAAGCCCAGCCTGGGATCAAAAGGCAGAAGCCAGGGCCCAGAATTGGATTCCTTGAGGGCTGGCAGTGCCTGGGGCCCTGGAGCTTCATCTCCACAATCCCAGGCCTCCTCCATACGTACAGCAGGGCAAAAGTTTGTCCATAGCTGCAGCTTCTCAGAGGAAGAAAAGTCTTCAGAAACCCCTTGTCTGATAGTTTCTACTCTTATAATCTCCTCTTGATCTGAACCACAGGGTATAAAGTTGAGGGGAGATAGGATCTCAAAGGCATATTCCTTCATAAAGCAGGATCTCCTAATCCTAAAGGCAGAGCCAATCATTTTGGATGTCAGTATTCAGTTGAATACATTTTGTTTGTTGATATGTTCAAAAAGATTTTTGAAAATCTCAGAATCCCCACTGCTCATTGTGATGGCCCAAGCCTGACTACCCTAGTCTCCAAGGAGAGAAAGAGAATCTAGAAGATGAGAGAGTGAATGAGTTAGCCTTGGAGTGTTGTAGGATCAGACAAGGCATGGCACTAAAAATAGCAGGAAACAGTTTTATTTGGCTGCAGCCAGGCTCAGAGGGCACAGCTTTTGCTGTAATCAATCAATCCCCTGAACCCCAAGTTCTGGTAGTTTAAGAGTTTTATAATCAGCATGTAAGGGGAGGGGCTCAGAAGTTCACAGTCTGCAGAAGTTCATATAAAAGCAGCTTTTTCTTTCACTGTTTTGGGAAAATTTACTCTTCAAGGACAACACCTGAA